GGTTGTGAAGAACATTTTACAAAATATTGGTCGGGTGAAGTTACCTAAATGCACATTGAGAAGAAACACAAAACAGAGTCAAGTGACATTTCACGTGTTTCAGTCCCAGGTCACGTCTTGAGAAAATTGCTAAAATAATGGAGGGGGCATTTTTCAAGCAGAGCTGCAGCTCCAACAGCTATGTTTACTTTAACGCTTCACTAGTGACTTCTGATTGGTTGTCATGACCTCATCTCACTGTTGCACCTAGGATGTTGCAACAGTGACATATACATACCCTTCTTGGAAAAAGATGAGAATAAATACAACATACATCTTTCAGAGAAGATGAATGGACAGTGGTTTGTCTATGGGTAGATGTCATTTATAGATAAAGCACTTTGAGTTTTATTTCCCTTGAGGATGAGCACCTATCTTCTTTCAAACCAAGCAGATAAAATGCTGAACTTGAGAAATATGATTGATAAATTTGTGTAAAATGATCTCTTACTGAGCTTTGCCTGAAGACCAAAACAGATAGTTCCATAGGTCAAAGGATTCTACTCTGACCCCTGACCCTCTCTGGTCACATGTGGCTTTTGGTATTGTCAGGTTAATATGCAGAGCCAAGTACTTTCAGCTGATTTTTTATTTAGTCAACCACAAGATATTTGAAAAGATGTAGAATTTGCCCCTGTTTTCCATTTTTTTAATAATTGGTAATTACTAGGCAAATTAATATGGATAAGTCTTCAGTTTTATCAAGATTTCATTTGGAGTCAGAAGACTGGTTTTGGTCAGGCATTTTAAGATTTTATTTGTTTACAGAATCTTCTTGATAAGTGCATATTTGTTCTGATATAATCTGCCTATCAAAGTTTTCCTTTTTGGGTTTGGCATCACCTGTTTGTTTTGGACCTCTCTGACCTAAGCCATCATCTACAGACTTCAAAGTAAAGAAGGCCTAAAGACCTGTGTATTCTATTTAAATCACAAGCACTTGTGTTGAATAAAATGCTATGTGTGGGAATGTACTTTTGAAGGTTTCTGTTTAAGACCCCATAGTTTATACCTTATACCATAGTTTATACCTTATAAACACAGGTCTGAAAATGAAACTAGTGTTATAGCTACAAAAGTATAAAAAATAGAATGAGATGAATTAAAGATATAAACCTTACTTTTACCAATATATATCCTCTTGATCACCTTAATTTCTACTAGACTGTGATCAAACATAAGTTAATTGACAACTTTATGTATGCTTTGTCTTTTGAAATGTTGGATATTGGAATTGATTTGGTAAATCATTATAAAGATGCCAGAAGTTTTATTTATTTAGTTGTAGAATGCTAATTGATTTGATCATTTTATCTTTTCAAAGATAAAAGGTTTCGATATATATTTGAAATGACCTATTTATAATATGAGAAATGTAACATACTTAAGGAATAATTAAATATAGAAGAAATACTTCAATATAAAATGTTTAAGAGTCTAAGCATAAGTTATGGAGTCTTCCTTAGTAGAGTAGCAATGCACAGTTCTTTTAAGATATGCTTGATGCCTGATTTTATAGTGCAGTTACATAAAACTTTATGGGCACATTCGTTAAAGGTCACACTAGCATCTCTCTTTACTAATTTTGTTGTGTACTGATTGAGTTATTGGGGATAGAAAGGATCACTTTTTAAAATGGTAGTCTGATTTTTGAAGAAGTTCATATTATTCAATTTAAAACTGAAATTTAACTGCTGACATTTTGTCTTTGCTTTGTTTTACTTTATTTCCTTTGACTCCTTAGTTTCCATATATTAATGTTGACATGGCAAAAATCTTTGTAGCTTATATCAAGGAATTTTTTTGGCAGTGTTATATATAACAGAGAAAAGGAGGAAAACATTAGGTTTTACTATGTATCTGTGGTTAGAGCACATAGGTGGGATAGTTAACTTTATTTTCTTACTCCTGCTTTCTCCTACTCATTATAAAATGGTTATGAATGATCTCTGAATATTGCATTAATTAATTTATCAGAAATGGTATAATTGACAATGTTAGTTTTTTACAGAATGGTAATTGAATTTGCAATAAACGTTTATTCAAATCAGCTCTCATTTCTTCAGAAAATGTACCTGAGTATTCCTTGTTGTCATATTAATTAAATTGACAATCCGAAATATCTAAAGGATAAAATATTTTCTAAATAGTTTGGCTATTTAAATAGAAACGTTCATTGTTGAAATCTAAATGATAGCAAATCTTCAATGGATTTAAAAATAGAATCATTTCTCATCTGCTGATGCCTAAGGAAACATTGACATTGTGCCTTTATGATATTGAACAAATTAGTCATGTAATTTTCAGTTACATAATCAATAACTTAGACAAATACTGCTTCTTTGATGATTTATAAATCTCTACTTTTATACTTATTTAGATGGAACATATCAAATTTCAGAGTGTATTTAACATTAAGTATGCATAGTAATTTTTCAATCTATGATTTCTAAAAATTGAAGTTTAAAGTTCTGCTCAAATAAGCCATATGAAAATATTATTTGTATTAAGTAATAAATCCAGATAATGGTTTTACAGTTCTGGTGACTGTAAATCTTGTTCAAAGAGTTTACCTTTATTTGAGATTTATTCATTATACAAAGATGATGCCATGTTATATCAATTTATTAAAGTCCCACATTTTTAATTTAAAAATTTTCATACTATCATTAAATGTAGTATATCACTGCTTTCATGTCTACTAACTTTAAGATTCTATTTTGGTCTTGCTAACTTTAACTCCTGAGTATGAGAGGGCGTGTGTGTGTGTGTGTGTGTGTGTGTGTGTTTGTTTAAAGTTCAATTCACTAAGAGAAGGCAGGGAAAAAACATGACAGGAGACCACTTACTCACGGTACAGAATCTAGTAAGGAGGCAATTTTCTTTTTGGCCTATGGTGACCTTTTTTGACTATGTTCCTTACACCAGAGACAGTGTACTGAATGCCTCTATTTCACCCTGTTTAGTAGAGTGCAACAGTGTTCTTTAACTTACTTTTGGTGGGAGGAGAAGTTATAGCTGAAATTTGAGAAGGGCGTGAAAAGTTGTAAGAGGCACAAGGAAGAGGGGTAGGAACTTCCTTCAAATGTGATTTTAATAACTAGTCAAGTGTGTCCAACTGTAGAAAATCACCAAGTGACAATCTGTCTACCTGACAGTGATCACAATGAATTACAAGACTTTTGAATAGCTGTACAGATTAGAATAAAGCAGGACCAAATAAAATATCTTTTGTTGGTAAAACTTTTGACTTAGAGCTAAGAAACTTTTATAAAAAATTCTCTTGTGCTTTGATGAAAAATGTTTAAATTATAAAATTGTAAAGTGTTTTATAAGCCTTTTGTGAAAAAAGCATTATTCTGAAACCTTTATTTGAACATCTGTTGAAGAATGGGTGGTGGTTTGTAAATCAGTTTGCTATATTTTATTATATAGTTTTCACATATGTAAGATGACTATATCTTAATTAATAGTCCAATCATTAAAATCAGAACGTCAGTGATCTTGAAAATTTCCAAACTAAATCATGGTTTTAGACAATAATATCATCTGATTGGAGGAAAAAATATTAAAAATTCCAAAGAAGTTTGTGAAATCAACTGTTTAATAAAACCAACCATATGCAGAAATGCAGCATATTTTTAAATAAGATAATTGAGTCTATGCTAATACTGGTTTACTATTGCTGCTGTCATCAATTTTTTAAAATCATCTTATGGTCGGTTTGCCAAAAAAAGAGTTTAAAATTTAAACTTCCAAGTAGAAGATTCTATAGTTAGAGTCTTGACAAACTATATATAGTACCTTTTTAAAGTAAGGATGAGATTTTTATAAGTTTTATTTTATGTTAAATAGATTTTAATATAAACATTTTATATAGCTCTTATGTTTGTATTATAATATCATATATCTTTTAAATATGTATAGTATTTTACAAGGACATAATTGGGGCACCTACAACACAGAATTGAATAAAAAGACAAGATATATTATAGCTTCAAAAATTTGTGTTACCCATGCTTGTCAGTGGTTATTGTTTATCTCTCTTTATTTTTTCATGGTTAGCTTATTCCATTATCCATAATATAAATATCAAACGTTTTCTTAATTACAACCATAGAAATGTTTCCCAGGCTAGAAAGAAATGAGACAGGAAAACATATATTTTACAAATTTTTTTTTAAAAAGCCTTACTAGCTCAACAAGCTGTATTTTTTAACTTTGGAACTTTACTTATTTCCTGGTTATAGTTTCAAATAAGCAGAGTTTTTATGATAGTTTGAGAAACAAAAGAAATTTTAAGATTAAAGACTTGCTTCCATATATTATAGTAAGACAGAGGCTTATTTTGCTTTCTGATTTTTCTGGCCTTCTCTGAGAAAATAAGTGAATAAAATTCAAGGTTCACAGGTAGATGTTATGTGTTTATGACAATATAGATATGGATGGTTTTGGAATGTTAGATTAATTTCTTTAACTGCTTATTCTTTTTCTTTGTTCAGACAAATAAAAAATGCTCATTAAAGGGCCACTGTAAAGAAAAATATACAAAAAAAAAGTAGTTTGAATTGTAAACTTCAATTTCAAGGTTATCTCAAAGCAGATAATATAAATATTAATGTAATTTGAAAGTATACTTGTTATTTGCTAATTTATTTTAATTATTTTTTGGGTTCTGAGAGGTCTGAATTGCTTTTTAATTTAAGCTTTGTAATCTTTGTGTTGCAATTATGTTTTTTTGTTTTTGTAAATAATACACGCTTATTTATATATACAATAAAGGCAAACAATTTTAAATGACTTCCTGTTGAAAAAAATAAAATCATAATCTTGCTAAAGGAGTGTTTTACTGAATATGCAGCTTTATAAAAATTGCTTAGTCTGAGATTTTAAGAACTTTTTTGAAAATTGAAATTGATTATAAGATTTCAATTATGCTACCTTCTTTCATTTCGAAACAGGAAGGATATGGAGTAATAGTACTAAATCCCAATGAAAACTATATTGAAGTAGAAAAACCGAAGATACATGTACAGTCATCATCTGATAGTTCAGATGAACCAGCAGAAAAACGGGAAAGAAAAGATAAAGTTTCTAAAGAAACAAAGAAACGACGTGATTTCTATGAGAAGTATCGTAACCCCCAAAGAGAAAAAGAAATGATGCAATTGTATATCAGAGTGAGTGAGATCACTTCTTTTCTTTACCTTATATGTATATCTTATTTTATACAGACTGTTTTGTTTTTCTTAAACTGTTTTTTTTAATTTTTCATTATTTATTTCCCATGGTTGTACTTGGATTAAATTTGTTTTTTATTCAAAATTACAAAACACATCATTTTTATTTCAGTGTGACATTTTATAGAAGTCACAAATGCAAATTCTATTTCCTTTTGTGTTATACAATACCTGAAGAAAAATTTTCTAAAATAATTTTATTGTGATAGATGCAGAAATCTTGTCAATTCAGTTTCCCAACATACTGCTTCTTTCAGGAAACATAACATATCTTTAAAATAGCATAGCATGCTGTTATGTTGTCCATAAGAGAGAGTACATGTAGCCTAACAATTCTAAGACATATTACCTGCTGAATTAATAATGCTGCATACAAAATATTCATCTTGGGGGGTAAGGTTTACTGGATAAAGCATTGTTTTATGATGAGCAACTGTCTATAGTGTCTCAGCCTAATGTCTAAAAGCAGATAGAGGGAAGAAGAGTAATTAATATCTTAATAAATACTTAATCCAAAATAGTTTAGGGATAGTGTGTAATGAGGGAACTCTGTCCTTTTTGCTTGTCCTACCCAGCAAACCTTTGCACTTTGTAGTACTAATAGTATGGGATCATTAGAGCAGTGCTGCCTAATGATTTCTAATTCTGTAGGAGGCACAAACAATTTTATTTTCACTTGGACATATTCAGAAGCTTGACATACGTACTGTAAATTATATATATATAAGACATTTGTGAATTTTCAAAGACCTTATTATGGATGCTAGAAGTTTAATAGTATAGCATGTCAAAAATGCTACTAGGTAAGAAAAATAGTATATTGAAATATTCCTCAAAAGTGAGCAATTCAGAACATTTAAACATAGATAAAATAACATTTTTATATCTACTTTAAAAGATCATTAATAAAATGTTTCATACCACCTTTTAGGGGATATATATTGCTTTCTAAGTTTTTATTTTTTATATTATTCTTCTAGTTCATGGCATAATCACTGTACTTTTTGGAATTGTAGTTTAAATATTCAAAACATTTTATTTAAAGGTCATTCTGTTAAGTTATGACAGTTAAGCAGTGATGATAACAGGATATAAATTTTCAAGACCTAAAAAAATGTGTCCTGTCAAAGAATTCTCAAAGCACTTCATACAATGAATCAAGCGGATTACAATATTTAAATTTTTAGAAAGCACTCACTATTTAATATATTATTTGAAAAGCAAGAACACTTATTATATTTAGAAGTAATAAGTAGCTTGTTTGTTCTCATGTGGTTATATTACTCCCTTTCTTTTTTATGATTACATTGGGGTCATGATGTTACCATCTTCTTTATCAGTTGTAGTAAGCTTCCTTCTATCTGATCAGTCTGTGAACCACCATCTTACGATAAGTTAAAATGCTTTAAAGGTTACCTCTGATATCTAGATTCCAGAAATGAATTGTATAAGGCTTCTGTAATATAAAATCATAGAGTTTATGTGAAATGCAAACCAAATGATATTGTATATTTAAGTTTATTTCTTCTTAAACAATTTATTTGCCTATGACATGTACAGATTAAGCATCTATCTCAGATCTTTCCTATAAGTTTATTTCTTCCTTTCTGTTTTCTCTTTATCTTGTTACCATTGCTTTGATTTTTTCTTTTGTTCTCTTGTGTACGTGCATTTTCTTTCTTCTGTTTTTCAGATCTGCTTTGTTTATCCTCACATCCACTTTTTCTTACATCAAGGAAACAGCATTTTTTTTATGTTGCTTCATTGTTAAGACCTGCTCTCTTTCATTTTGTTTTCTTTTTAATTATTTTCTCTCTTTTACACTCTTCATTTTTCCCTCTTTTTCAAGTCTTTTTCCTCTTTGTCCCATTTCACTCATCAATCCAGGTTTGCAACAAAAGCACAAAAAGACAAAAATAGGCCCAAATTCATAATACAGCTTTGTATCTGATGGTCTTAGTTATGAAATGTTGTTTTTTTAGTAAACCTCATTTATCTTAAAATCTTCAGGAATTTTGCAGAATAGCAGAGATAAGCTCTCATTCTTCAAACATACTTCTAGATAGTAAGATTTGGCCCTGTAGTGGGAAAGAGAAGAATAGTTCATTTTGTATAAGGCACATTAATTCCTTAGTAATTTTTATCCACTCTAGAAATGACTTCTAGTGCTCCTCTTCTGTCTACATATCTCCAAATACCAAGTGTTTGTAATTTTCAGACACAGAACATTTTATATGATGGAACTAAATTAACTCTTATTTATGTACTTCTTACCAATTTACACTTTGAAAGTATCTTCTGTACTTTGTGACAACCTAATAGGTAGGCGAATCACATCATTTTATCCTTATTTTAGTTGGAAACTGATATACAGATGTTTGTCTAGGATCACAAAGCTAGTAAATGGTAGATAATAAACCTACTTTTTGAAACCAGACTTGTAATTACTGTAGATTCTTCCCTTCTTTCTTCTTTACCACATTGCTCTATAGATTGAAAACAATATGTATTTGAAATTTGAAAATTAAGCCATGTATAGTAAATGTATTTTACAATATAGTAAACAACATTTGATGGCAAAGATAGATTTTTGACCAGTTATTATTTGATGGACTCTATTAAATGTTTATAAACAATTATAAGTATAAATATTTCTATAAATATGTATATATTTATATATTATCTACAAATAGTATCACTAGTACTGATCCAGATTAACAGATGAGACTGTGGGTTAAAAACTTTTAGCTTTTCGATGGTGGAAACTCAGTCTGAGGACACTGCCGCAGGAGTGGGAGCTATCATATCCTCTTCCCTGCCAATTTCCATTGCAACTAATAAAGCCTGTTTGTATCGTAAACACACACACCCAGACACATACACACCCACATACAACTTTGAGTAATTTTTCCAAGGTCCACGTAGCTCTTAATGTAAGATGCATGAAGGCATGTACTTAGTCTGTTTTGCTCACTGCTGTATCCCAGAGCCTAGAACAAAGGCTTCATAATAAATATTTGCAGAGCCTATCTTTCACAATAAATTTTAAATAAGATTGTAGACCCAGGATTAAAACCCCACACTATAACTACTACTTTTAAAAATATGTTCTGCATTATTAAAGTATGCTACTTGATTTTCTGTGGGGAAACATTTCAATAAACCAAGACGAGAAACAAACAGCACTACAGTTGTTGACTTCTCACTTAATCCAGTAGCTGAGATTACAATCCAGAAATTAATGATAGAAGTTATTATTTGATACTTTGAAGTATATATTTTCATCTGAATATATAAAAGTAGAATATACTATTTTCTCTTTGAGCTATATCATCATACTGTTAAAATTATGGATGAAAATGGAAATGTTTCAGCCTGACCTATTGCAATTTCTGTGTTACACATTTGCTCTTAAGAGTACAGCCAGCCTGTTGGGCTTACTCTACCCTGTACACATTTGATACTTTATGTAATCTTTAACTTCAGTTCCTGTTCTTTCCTGAATCAAAATTCTATCCACATTGTAAGTGCCTAGCTGCCACCTCTTCTTCTCACTATAGCCAGTGACCTTTCCTTACTGAGACTCATGGAATTTATAATTATTGGCTAATTTATATGGAATTTACCAGGTACTATCTTGATATGTCTCTTGTATTTCTGTCTAATAATTTAATTATTATTAGCAGTCATTTTCATGCCTCTTCACTAGATCTCCCCATAATCCTTTAGATCTTTGAGCATGCTTTAAATATTTTGGCATTGCATGTCTATCCTTAAAAGCAGATATGTGCTGCTTTTTGCATTAGTACAGAGCATATTTTGAGGGAGTCAGGAACTGATTCTAGAATTTAATCCCTTGGATGGAGACCAAAGCTAAAAGATTAGGCCTTAGTCTAGAGATACCTAGGTAAAGGAACCTGCAGCCTAGCAATGGAGCTTATTCTGGTATCAAACTGGAGCATAAGAGGACAATTAAACTGAGAAAGGTCACTTAATAGAATTTTAGAGACTATGGGTAGAGTATAGGCAAAAGTGACTTGATGCTGATCTGTCTAATATTGGGTTGAAAGTGCTTGAACATCCCTTTCCTAAAATGAGACTTATTTGTGGACTATGCTGATGGGAAGTAAAGGAGGGAAATTAGACCCAGCATGTGAAAGAAAGCAGAAACAGATGCTGAGGATAAAGGGGAAGAGAGTTACATGGACCCAAAGTGAAAAGTCCAAACGTGGAAGAGACATTTACAGAATAGGTATCTTAGCAGAGCCTGGCATTGCACATAGAAGATACTTAAATGTTTATCAATTGCTTGTTGACACTCATAAAAAATCTTATTCTTTAATATGTAAGCTATTTGGTGTTGTCTAGTTTTCTGATTGTTTTTTTTTTTTTCAGCATTCATGGGAATTTTTGTTATTGTTGAGAAACAGTCAAGTCTGATAAACAAGCTTTCTTTCAAAAAATATGTTTTTGATGTTCTGACTTGGGTATGTTCACAGTTCTGAATCTCTTCCTTGCAAATGCCACTGAAGTCATTTTTATCTAGTGTTTCGGCAACCAAGTTCAGTTTATTTATATTAAAACAATGATTGTTTAATTTTTGATACTTATTTTCCCAGTATATTCAAGTATTTGGATTTTGTTTTCTTTAATATCTTGTCAATAGCCAGTCTCCTTTCAAATTTTTGCAAATATCTAGTATACACAGGCAAAAGCAAAGTAGAATTTGGGCCTAAAACTTTAAGATTAGCAATGTATAATTTTATTTTACTTACTAAGTGAGCATAAATAGATATGACTAACTAGTAGATTATGTAGCACTTTTCTGAGACATTAGGAGCAAAGCAGGAGAGATCAAAGAACTTACTGTTTCATGTGGCAAGTTTCCTTAACTATGAAATAGTGTACTTGCTAGCATATATTATGGCTTATTAAGGGGA